GTCCACAGAAGGCATTTTTTGCTGGAAACCAGAAAAAATACTGGAATGGGGAGGAGGGGAAAGTAAATTGCAGTTACATGACTATGGGATGCTACAGACTACCCTAAATGCAGGCCAGTTGCAGAACTGTCAAAGTGGGATCACAGCTGTCAGAACTTTGAATCCAGATCATAAGTCTTAGGGCCATTTTAATGCTAAACAACTTCTGTAGTCATGTCGAGGACAACCTGTTTCTTGTTTTTGATTTTGCTGTTGCATTCCTATTAAGTACCCAACACATTGAGTTGCCTAAAATATTTTTTCCATATCATTTTAATATTTAGTACAAAACTGTACTTTTGGTATTCTAACTTTTTAATTCATTGGATTCTGACCATAGCTATAAATAAGCTATAAATAAAGATGAAGAAAACCTCTCTCTTGCTTTTCAACACTATCCTTACAATTTTCCTGACGGAGAAGAGCTCTAAATGTAATTGGTGAACAGCAATGCCATACTCATCTGTAGCATTCAGGTTGTAATGTGGTATCTGATCCAAAAGACAACTTAACCTTTCACTGATCATTGTAATGTCTCAAATTATTTGGTTAGTTTTTCGATGGACATGTAAATGAATGGACATTGATTGTGAACTGGTACAGAAGGAAAGGAACACAAAAGAGAACAGAGGGGACTTCCAACCCCAGCTCTTGGAAGATAATCTTCAGTCACTAAATGTCCCTACTCTGAGCCCATAGCAATAGCCTCTGGGAAAGGAAATAAGGCAGAGAAGCAGCTTTACGTTGAGTTGGGTCCACCTAGCTCACTATTGTCTATACTTCTGGCTGTTGGACACTTTTTAAGATTTCAGAACAGACTTCTTCCTAGTCCTTATCTAGGAATAACAGGATCTGATTCTAGGATATGTTGCAGGCAAAGTATTCAATTTTGATTCAAATAAAGCCCTAATTCAAGATGCACATGCAGGGTAATCTTTTGAGTCAGATTTTCTAGCTGACAGCTTCTACAATTGAAGTCTTGTGCTGGGCTGATCAACAAAGATGGTTTTTTTTTTCTTGTAATAGTGTTCTAAAGGGGATGGCTGGAGAATTCTGGAAGTCCACATATCTTAAAGTTGCCAAAGTTAAGGACACTGTTGTAGGCGAAGTTATGTTCTTTCTCTGCTAACACAGAATGTTATTTTCTTACTTTGTAGCCATTTTGCTCACCTTGATAGGGTTTCAGAACTACTTTCACTATTTTTTGTTTTGTTTACTAGGCAAGTGCTATAGTTAAGCTAAAAGCTGATTAAACATTTTGATTCTTTAGTCCCGTTGTATCGATAACCTTTAACAATGAGCCTCTGTGGTGCAGCAGTTAGAGTGCAGTACTGTAGGCTATTTATACCACCTGTCAGCTGCCGGCAATTTGGCAGTTCAAATCCCACCAGGCTCAAGGTTGACTCAGCCTTCCATCCTTCTGAGTGGGTAAAACTAGGACCCAAAATTGTTGGGGGCAATATGCTGACTCTGTAAACAGCTTAGAGAGGGTTGTAAAGCAGGGGTGGGATTCAAATTTCATAACAACCGGTTCTGTGGGCATGGCTTAATTTGTGGGTGTGGCTTGGTCATATGATTGGGTGGGTGTGGCTTGGTGCTCACATGGCTGGCTTGGTCACGTGACTGGCTGGGCGTGGCTTGGTGGTCATTTGACTGGGTGGATGTGACCAAGTCTGAAGTCATTTGTGTGTGTTGCCTGTATGAGCCAGGAGGAAAGAAAGCTCCAATCTCTGTGCGAGGGTGTGTGTGGGGGGGGGGAGGTTAGTTTTATAAAAAGCCCAAAGGAGAGGAAAAGATAAAGTTGTGCCAAATAAATCCCAGGTTGGGGGCAAGGAAAGAAAAGGAATCCCTGCTCTGAAAAGGGAGTACCTCCCAAGAAAACAAAGGAGTCAAAACCTTATTTACTCATACTTTTTAAAAAATTAATTTAACAGACATTAAAAAGCAATTTCAGTTTCACTTTTCCAGGTTCAAATCTCTTTGCAGATAACAGATAATCAGAGTTGGTAGGTCATCTAGTCCAACCCCCCCCCCCTCTCAAGCAGGGAGACCCTACACCATTTCTGACAAATGGCAGTCCAATCTCTTCTTGAAAGTCTCAAGTGATGGCGCTCCCACAACTTCCGAGGGCAAGGTGTTCCATTGGCAGATTGTTCTCATGTTTGCTTAACATATGTGGTATATTAACATATTTATACCCCTCTATGTTTTTAAGCACTAGGAATTCTCTATTTAACTAGATTTAAGAAAAGCACTTACATTAAGTTAGTGGCAATTTTCTATATCTCACAAGCAATGAATTAGTGTGGAACTCCTTTATAACCATCAGACATAAACTTTTGGTCTTTTTTTTTTATTCCATCTGTCTTCTGACACATCCTCATTCTTAGATTCCAAAGTGGTTTTCCTTTTCAGAAATTCTCCTGTGAGTTTCACCCTCAAATACCTTGTGGACTTCATCTACTCAGACACAGATGAGCCTTTAATAGTACAAAAACTACCCAAACCATTTTAGGCTAGCTAATCACTCTTTTCTGGATTATATTCAATAGCCATCAGAACCAAATCTATTCTAACCAATGTAATACTTCTAATACTGCCATCATCTCTATAACCATACATCTTCTTTCCATAATTTTGTCATATTTTATCTTGTATTGATAAAAACTGTCTTCTTATTACCAAAACAGAAGAAGATATCTAGTACAGAATGTGTTTAAATATTCAGGGATGCAGGGATATATGAAGAGCTAATGAACAGAGCAAGGTTATCTCAAAACCTGTTTTGTATTTTGAACAAATGAATCCCATAAGGGAGTCTCCTGATCTTAGCCTATAGACTGGCTCATATTGAGATAGTTCTTCAGATAGCCTTGAAATTATTTGAAGTTTAACATCTTAAATTGTTTTTGACAATCACTGTAAATTTTATAACATATCTAGCAATTTAACTGCTATATTTTAGTTAAATTTCTGGAGATTCAAATGCAGCACTACATACAACACATTGCATAGTCAGTCAATATGTAATTAAGGAATAGATGACTCCTGCTAAATCTTCTAGCTTAGAAGTAGTTGCCACTAGGTGTAATTGTGCAGTTGCATTCTTTTCCAGCAGTGTCACTTGAGAATCCAAACATTATTGAAAAGTAAAAAGTATTTCCAGATCATTCAAAGGGATTATATAATATATATTCACCTAGAATAGAGAATATCCCAATCCCTGATCATCATACTTATTGATTAATTTATTTCTGCTTCAGCATTTTCTTCATTGGCTAAGTCAGAGGTCTCCAAACTTGGCAACTTTAAGACTTGTGGACATCAGCTCCCTCAGCCATTCCTCAGCCATTTTTTGAAGTAGTAATGCATCTTCTGAAGATTTTAAGAAAGGATGTCTTCTGCATCCCTGAAATTGGTTCTTTGGGCTGTGAGATTGATATAATTGGCATAGAGAAATTTCCAAGAAATAATTTCAGGCAGGTCATGAATATACAAATTAAGAAAGAGCAGGGGGTAGCACTGATCCCTGTGGTACTCCATTATTCAATTTATGATATTTTCTTCTATTGAATTCTGTGAAATAACCTGTTACTCAACATGTTGTCAATCAAGGCAATAGTATTATGACATGGTATTACTTTGGAGGAGAAGTCCTTGTCTCCAGAAGGTATCATAGGCTGCCAAGAGATCAAGAAAAACACAGACATTTTTCATTTTCCTTGGAATCCGTTCTCCAAATAGCAAGTTAGTGCAAGGATTTTATCACTACAATCATATCTGGGGCAAAATCCAGCTTGTTCTATTTGGATTACAGATTCTACTGCTAGGGCAAAGACTTTAACATAAGTCTTTCTACAAGTTTGTAGGTGACACAGAGAAGAGCAATTGGCCTGTAACTTTGTGGAAGGCTTGGATCCTTCCCTGGTTTCAAAATTGCAATAATTTTGCTCTTCCTGAATATAGGAGGCAGCCATCCTGAGTATAGTATGATACTAAAAAGGAGGCAAGTCAACATTTAGTTGCTGGTCCACAGTTCTGCAATAGCTTTGGGTATATTCCATCAAATCCTGCAGCGTTATCGTTTTGTAAAGAATCCAGACCCTTCTGCATTTCTTCTGGTGTAAATGGGCGCAAGTATAAAGCATTAATATAATACAGTACATTAAATAAGGATAAATAATTGCTGAAAGTCAAAATGTAATATTCTTCCCATTCTGATTAGAATTGGAATGGAATCAGGCCAGTATCAGACCACATTCATTCATCTTACCAGAAATCACTGGACTACGGATTCCAACTGTAAGAAATCAATGAATTAATGAAAACATTAATGAAAACATTAATGAAAACATTAATCCAGAGTTAAATAAATAAGAGATAAGATTATATTTTGTTAAGAAAGAAACATAGAGATCAGGGTTTTTTTTCTTTTGTATTTGTGTATATGTGTCCATTCTGTTACATTTAAATCAGATGTTTCATGGATGGGAGATCTAATGTAGTAAACTAGATACCTTAACCCTGTGGTGGCTAATCTTTTTGGCTCTTCCGGTTTCCAGTGCTCCCACGTGTGCGATGTGCTCCGGGGAGCTGCTCTTCTGGTTTCTGGCGCTCCCGCGAAAACCAGCTACACGCTGGAACCCAGAAGAGCAATGGGCAATGGCTGGCATGCCTGGAGATATGGCTCTGCATGCCACTTCCGGCACACATGGCGTAGGTTCACCATCACGGCCTTAACCTATATACACTTTATAATTCATAAAAGATGGTCATTCTGAATAGGGGCTTACAGGAATTATAGTTTAAAGAATTTAAGGTATGTTCAGAAAAGAGTGATTGCTTTCTTTCTAAAACAGTATGTAAAAAGGCCTGCAAACATGTTGAAAAATATTCACTTTTATTTAAAATACAGATGAACTGAGTATTTTTTTACAAAATCTTTAAATATTTTCTTACAGCTGTTGGAGAATCAGAAAGTGATATCTACATGCGATTCATGAAGTCACATAAGTGTTACGATATTGTTCCAACAAGCTCAAAGCTTGTGGTTTTTGATACTACACTACAGGTGAGTTCCCGTTTGGGAGATTCCTTTCTTTGCACCTAGTTGTCTTATGTCTGTAATAAACGAAAAGAAAAAATTATAAGAAATCTTATTAGAGATGACATTAGTTCATATTTGAATATGATGGTACCCTTTTCTATTGTAAGTTGCAAGCACAAGTTCACTGTTGGCTAGATTATAAAATAGCATAAATCTTGAGAAAGTGCAAAAATTTCTTAACCTACTTCCAGTTCAAAATCCATCAAATTGGCCCAGAACAGCATGGTCTAGTAGGCAGTTCACTATCATCCAGAGGGAAACATCACCTGTTGTACACTAAGCTTTGTCTTATTTCAGTACTGATAAGCTCAATTTATGACCATTTGTTCAGCAATCATTCAGAATTATGCTAGCACTGAATGAATGGGTACTTATGACCAGTCCTTGGAGTTCTAGCCCTCCCGGCACCTCAATCACCTGTTATGGGATTGCATTTTGAGTGCTAGTAACTGGCTCACATTTATGGTTAGCATGGTTCACAATTAGGTGATATCCATTGCAATCTTCCCTGACAGCATCCCCAGAAGCTGACAGGGAAATTTGCAAGTCCCTGGGAGAAGTCTCCCCCACCTGCACACCCTCCCCTGTCATTATGCCTCATCAGCAAATCTCACGAACCTCAGATAATCAGAATATGTTTGTACGTTGTACCATTGATTCCTATCCCTTTTTTTGAAAGATTTTGTAATAACCTAAGTTTGTACTATATGCTGCTGTTTGATTGTTATGAAGAGGCCCCTGCCTGCCTTGCTGAAGGGCTGTGCTGAATCTGACATTTCCCCAACATTTTGAAATGAGAGTTCCTGATAATATTTTTGTATGGCATTTGGTGAGTGAGTGAGTGAGTGTGTGTGTGTGTGTGTGAACATAAATGGTACTTATGAGTATTATCCTAAAACCAATAAAGGTAAAGGTTTCCCTATCCAGTTCTAAGTCACAGTGCTCATCTCCCTTTCCTGGCCAAGGGAGCCAGCGTTGTCCCAAGACATTTTTCTGTAAAGAATTGGGCTGTCATCTCTCTTGGATGCCATCTAGTGGTGTACACCCAAGGTGTATTTCTCGGAAGATTTGAAGAATTGAAACTTGAGAAATCAGTTTATTGAGTTGAGTCTCAGCATATATACAGTTGCAATCATTGAAAAGAGTGGAAGCTGCCCCTCAAAATCTATAATGAACTGACTTGTTTAAAAGATAATTCTGTGAGGTGAGGAAACGAACAACCAGAACTTCCCTAAAAGCAGCTGCTGGATATATAATTCCTTTTCTATAATAATTCAATAAATAAATAAATTCAAGAGCAAAGTTCTTCCAATTTATACCTTCATTTTGTGCATGAAAAGGCAGCCTGCATTTTCTTGGTTTTCTGGTCAACCAGTCCATTTTAAAAGTTGGGGGGGGGGGGGGCGGGGGAAGCCAGGAATCCATCTCCCTCGTAGTTAGAGTATCACTGGAGGCAAACAAGTTGAGTAGGTAGTCTTCAGCCAGTTTCAGATACAGAGTTATGGAGCTCAACAGATGGTAATCTTTCTGCTGCAGGAAACAGCTTTATGGATGATACCTTAAAATATTTTATTATGAATTTAGAAATCAGGGCCAGTGGTTAGCATTTACACTTACTTCAGGGTAAAGATGGCTTTAAAATTGACAGTAGTTCCCATCATTTTTATTTTAGGTTACCCAATCTGTAATTTTAATATAGGTTCAAATTGGGTAATATAAATTCCATTTTAAACTTGTCCAAAAAATGAGAAATGACCAGAGAAAACCAAGATTACAAATAATGTTGCTTGGAAACGCCATTAAATTCATTTTAATAGTGTGGTTATTGAACATTATATACTTCTCATTTGTAAGGATCCTAATTCTTCAGACAAAAATCTGATAATTTTGAAATAGACATGTAACATATATGCTATTATTTTCCTTATAAAGCTTTCTTCTTGAATACTGCTTGTCATAATAAATTGCTGTGGTGATAAATGAATTTTTTAGTACTGACTAACAACCAAAATAGCTGTGATTTCCCCCCTATTTTTTCTGAAAAATGTATAATTAGATAGCAGATTTATTATAAAATAAGAAATTATGACTTTGAATCTTGCAGATGAGAAAGGAGGCAAAAATTACATGATCATTTCTCCTACATACATCCTAATGTATTTAATTTCTGCCTCATTTTTTCAGTTTTCATTTAGATATTTATTTCCAAATAGCTCCCTTTAAGATAATTTCTTGCTGTGTTTTTCTTTTTTCAGGTAAAGAAAGCTTTCTTTGCTTTAGTGGCAAATGGTGTTCGAGCAGCTCCACTGTGGGAGAGTAAAAAACAAAGCTTTGTAGGTAGGATGATATTTGTTGGTATGAAATTATAGAAAAATAGCATGAGTGGGGTTTTTTTCCTTCTGCTTTTTTACTTCTTCTATACTAAAAATATGGCTTCAGGTATGTAGCAGAAACTCAATTTAATGATCTCCCATTCAGCAGATTTTGGATGCAATGGACCAAATTTCTATCTTGGTATGTCTCCAAAATAATGGACAAATCTGATATAACTGAAGTAGTTCAGATGAAACTACATTTGTATTAATGTTAGGTCATCCATTCTGATTTGCATCATTTTGGCATGCTGTTATTAAGCAATTGATGTGAATTATGAAATTCGTGTAATGATGCAATTGTTGCAATTCATATAATTGGTGATTAAGTGGACACTTGAGAGTAATAGACTCACCTCCTCCCCATCCATGTATTAAATCAATATTTCTTTGCAATGGGAAAACATGGTTTTCTGCTAAATGACAAGCCCATGTGAGAAAGCATTGGAAACTTCCAGTTTTAAATATATAGACATTTGTAAGTGATACCTGAATTTGTGTATGATTTCTTTATATTCTTGCATTTGTACTATGGTATAATATGTGGTACATAGTCTATTTGACCATTAACTAGATTTTAGACTACACACTACAGCAGGGGTGTAAAACCCAGGGCCTGTGGGCCGGATGTGGCCCACAATGTGGTCGGATCCAGCCTGCGGGGCAGTCCTGCTGTACTCAGTGCGAAGAGGAAAGATCAGGTCAGCCTGGCTTCGGCTCAGTCTACCCAATGCAAAAAGGAAACAGGTCAGCAGTTTGAGAAGTGGCATCAAGTTGGCCACGTCCATCCAATTGGCCACCTCTGCCCAGTTGGCCACACCCACCCAGTCTGCCACACCTGCCCGCCCCCCTGGAATCAACCACAGCCCTGATGGGGCCCTCAATGAAATTGAATTTGACACCCCTGCACTACAATATAAAGGGAACTATATTTAATTCAAAAGTAAAACTTCCCAATCTCCTTGTACTCATGACAGAAGAAAGGACAATGGAATAAGTAAATATTAAGCACAAGGCTTCCTGCAGATCATACAAATAATGGGAAACTAGGACTAGCTATCATATCTGACAATTTCAGTCACAGAATAAAGAAAAGAATGCAAGTGTATGAGAGATTTCTCATGAATGTTTGCATCTTGATGCTGACCATTTTAAACAATGGGATTAATATTTTGGATCAGGGCTGGAAAACATAAGATAGCATTAACTTTTAGAACTTAGTTCTGAACAAAGATTGTATATCATTTTTTGAGTACAACTAGAAGAGTGCTTAAAGATTATCTTTGGCTGTGCTTAAGAAATATGAGCAGTTTTTCTTACACATAAAACTAGTTGCATTTCAAAGGAAATGTGTTTTAGCTGTATCCAATTAGGTATCTGCCTTTTAATTTTTTTATTCTGATTGAAGACTGCAACTTACTATTCTAAATAAGACTTCCAAAATCAAGGATATAGTTATAATTTATTTTTAGTCGATCTCCCACTAAATTTCAGTATCGGAGGCTATTTACATGAAGCACTAAATTTAATTCTGGCATTTTCAGAAAACAAGTTTAGAACTTATATACGTTTTATTCCTTTAATATGCTAAGATGGAAATCTTAATATGCAAAGAATAGTTGGGAACTCTTATGTAACAGTCAAATTTTACTTTAGCTGAAAAACAGTTCTAGCTCTTTAGTGGATAAAATATTAACACTTTAAATTTTGTGGAGTAATTATGATATCACAACTCTTAATGTGACTTGTGAAGAATAAACATTACTGTGTTTATGCATATTTCCAGGACTTCACTTGGGCTTTCTTACATTTACCAGTAAATCTGTAAAGTTTAACGGTGTTAAAAACAAATTGGAAAACTGGATTAAATGTGCTTTTTTTTTGCCTTGTTACAGGAATGTTAACTATTACAGATTTCATTAATATACTGCATAGATACTACAAGTCTCCAATGGTAGGTGCCACCTCATAATTACAGCTTTTACAAATAAAACAGGATGCCTGAAATAAAAGTATTAATATAATAGTGGTTAAAAGTAATGGTTAAGAGAAAGAATGCCATTCTGGCTTGGTGGAATTTTCCAACTTCGCTGTACTCTGTAGGTGTAAAACTGAACAGGGATTTGCCTGCCTTATTTTTTTCAATATTATTATGGCTGATTATTGCCAAATGAAAAGAAAAATGCCCGTTCCCTAGATGGCAGTAATGCTTAACAATAATTGGCCCAGAAAAATGTAAAAAACCCTTTGATGTTTTGGGAAATATACAAACAATGGAACAGATCTAGTGTGATTGGTTAGTATTCAACTCCAGAAATTTAATTTAGCTGTGTAGCTTAAATAGCTATGTAGATAATTAGTGGACTTTGAGTAAATCAATAACTCTCAACCTAGTGTACTCATAAGCCAATTTACAACAATTAGCTGTTTACAATGCAGCTTAACAGTATAGCAACATTATATCAAAATCTAATACTCTGAAGTTTCCATAGGAAGGTGTCTGGAGAGAGGGGATGGCTTGTAAGTAAACAAGTATCACTATATAAACCCCACCTTTTATATACTTGCATGCCATGTTGCAACACAAGTATAAAAGGGCAGAGCTAATGTTGTGATATGATGCATATTTCAATTTGAGACATCACAATAGTTAGGAAGACATCAATGTTTCTATGTAGGCTTTGCATCCAGCCTGAAATTAGTTATTCCTGATATTTGAATATAGTAGTTGTATTTGAACCTGCCAATAATTGAAAATGAAATATTTCTCTCTTATACATACTGTTCAAATGCATATATTTGATGCTTGATCTGTTTCTCTGTTCAGTCATGTATCTGGCATATTGTTAGAACCACATACATTTGCATAAGTTATTTTTTGGACATGGCAGTTTCTGGAGACAATAAGAAAAGAGAAAAAAGAGCTGGAATAGATAAAAATGTGGCAAAAGAAAGCAAAGGTAGTACCAGTAATAATAGGTATCTTGGATGCAATCCCAAAACAACTGGAGCACTCCTTGAAGATCATCAGCAAAAAGTTGCTTAACTCAAAGCAGCTTACATCATGCTATGATACCTCTAACACCATCAAACATCAACATCTGCATACCCGAGGTCTTTGGAAAGGACTTGATTGGTGGATAAAATACCAAATCTGGTCTGAATCTGGCTGATTGTGCGATGAACCATCATAGTTTCCTGTATTGACCTTTCAGTGAATGTTGTGTTGAGGGAAAACCACTAAAATTTATTTTCATATCATTAGTCTTTATTCCTGATTTTTTTTACTGTTTTAAAAATTTGAATTTGAGACAATGAAAATAGTCAAGATTCTTTTTTCCCTTGGAAGTTTACACAATAGTTTTAAAAGTGGACATAGCTAAAGTGATACACAGAGCCAGCTGAAGCAAATGTGATATTTAATCTTTCTAAAATAAACAATCCTGTTTCTTCTATGGAAATTAATTCTGCCTGCCGATTTGTAACACAGATATCCCTTGCCATTGGCATTTATGATCTCAAGAGATGTAGAGGAAAGGAAAACCAACTTAAAAAGTTGCTGGCATTTGGAAATCTAAATGTTACAGTCTGGTTAGTTAAGAAACAGATTGTCCTCCCACAATAATTCTGTTCATCCTGTCTTCAAATCCCAAATGTACAATTACTGCATTTGCTTATCTTCTTTACTTCCTAACAGTAGCATCTGCACTTATTTTGTCTCTCGTACAGCAGTACATTCAACTACAATTGCTCACAGTCATAAGTAGGAAATAATCAATATATACATAAAGTAAAGAAAAGTGAATCAAGCTGCAGACTACTGATTAACCAGGACTGCCAAACTAGTAATGTAGTAAATGGGATCAGTGGTAAGATTCAAATAAGATTTAAGAACTGGTTCACCCAGTGTCAAGTTGGCCATCGTGGAAAGCGTGGACCATCCTCCAACTCCACTGCACATGCAGGACGAGTCTCCCGCATAGGCCAACCTGACCTTGGGCGAACCAGTTGTTAAATTACCTCCACTGCCCCTTCCCCCGCTGTCAAAATGAATCAACTCTGTCCTTTTAACACAGAAGGAAAAAGATATCGGGAGGATGCACTACTATATGAAGTGAAAAAACAAAACTAAAATGGCAACCGCAAGAGGGACTGAAACAGATAAGGAAGGGAAGTAGTGACTAAAGAAAAAAAAGAACGTGTTCATTAAAGGAGGCACGATTATTGTTAGGCAAATTTCTTTAAAAGGTGGAGGATGACAGAGACCTGAGAAAGGCACAGCAAGACGGAAAGGAAAAGTTAGCAGGAGGCGAGAGGAGGGAGCTAATTCATCCAAGCAGGAGGAAGTGGAGGGGCAAGTGAAAGCAAGGAAAAGAATGGTGGATGGAGGGAGGCAGGATCAAAAAGACTCCCACCTCCTCAGTGAGATCTCTGGCAGGCTGTTCACTCCGCCCCTCCCCTGCTTCTCTTTGTCCACTGCAGCCTCTTTGGTGCAGAGCTATCTGCTCTTTCTCCCTGCTCAGGGAGGAAAGACGCTGGGAGGGGTCACTCACCGCCTTGATTAAGCCAGGAGCCACTCCCTTGACGGCGTGGATGAGGGAAAGAGGAGGAACAGGGAGAAGAAGGAGGGAAAGCGGCCTCTTTCCCTCACACTGGATGCTCCATTGCCCATTTTCTCCATTGCAGCACAGCGCTACACGGAGCTTGCCTCACCCACCACTGCCCAGATGCCCTCGCTCCCACAAGCATTTCTTTGGCTACCTGATTTTCAGCTTTCTCTGTCACATTTCTCGTCGTCGTGTGCAGGGGACAAAGTTTGTGGGACAAAAAAAAGTTCAATCAATTCCAACTTCTCATGAAAAAAAAAAGATCTTGCAAAGTTGGAATTGATTGATTGAACTTTTTTTTAGTCCCACAAATTTTTGTTACTCTGTACACAATGGTGTGAAACGCGACAGAGAAATGCAACGGAGCTGGAAATGAAGTAGTCAGAAAAATGCTTGGAGGGGAAGCAAGAGCATCTGGGCACCAGGTGGGGTGGGATTCAAATTTCTTAACAACCGGTTCTGTGGGTGGCCTAATATGTGGGTGTGGCTTGGTCATGTGACTGGGTGGGCATGGCTTGTATGTAAATATTATAAATATTGATGTAACTATTGATTTTTTTTAATAAAATAAGAGCAACTTTTACCCAAAAGCAGGCAAAGCAGGCAGGCAGATTGAATTGCTCATAGAATCACAGATTCACTTAGAGATCTATCTATATGCAGTCTGTCATATAAAATTTGCTTGCAAGCAAACTCATAAAATTTGCTAGCAAGCAGACACACAAAATTAACTCACAACACACAATGTATATTGTGTGTATATTGATTTTTTTATTTTAAAAAAGAGCAACTTTTACCCAAAAGTAGGCAGGCAGATTGAATTGCTCACAGAATCACAGATTAATTTAGAGATCTGCAATCGGCTATCTGCAATCGGCTACCTAAATCTGCACTGCCTAAATCTGCTACCTAAATCTGCACTGAAAAGCTTCAGTCCTAAGGAAGGTTCGGCTCTGCTTTTAGATTAGCTAGAAAGCAAGAAATCCAAGGATTTCCTGCTTTCTAGTTAATCTAAATCTCCCAGCAGAGCAGAACAGCTGATCGTTGGGGGGAAAAAAAGGAAAAATAGCAACTTACCAAACCAGGCAAGTTGGATGGCTCACATGCCAGGTAAGGAGTAAGTGGGCAGGGAAAGGGGGGGCAGCCAGTGGAGCGATTTGCCGGTTCTCTGAACTGCATCGTGTGTGCAGTGTTTGCAAGAAACCATCAGCTGTGCTGCCTGGACAGCTGACAAGCACTGTGCTCGGGTGCGCAGCATTTGAAAATCCTCTTGTTTCTTGCTTTTTCAACTTCAGCTGTGCTGTGCAAAGCAGCTGAGGAGAGAAAAGCAGGGAATAAAGGAAATCCTAGAGCCCGGGCAGGTGGGTGAGCCAAACACCGAACTGGTTCAGTGTCAGCTGCTCTTTGCAGCTACAGGTTTTATAGAACCAGGCCGAGCCGGTAGCATCCCACCCCTGGTGCCAGTTGCTGAAATGGGCCTGTCTCTCTCCAGCAGTTGCTCAGGCTCACCAGAGGGAAGACCGGCATCTACCAGCATTCAAACTCAGCGACATTTCATGTCTGGCCAGAAAGGGGCAGCTGGCATGGGCGCTGCAGATAGGACACTTGCCTCCCTGACTCTCTTGTGCTCCGCTGGTGCTTTGGCCCTGGGCTGCTTCGTTACATGCAGGCCCTGCCCCCGGCACCTGAGACAGTTTTCGCCTGAGTGAAGTGATTGAAGGTTTCCGTCATTCCTCTCTTGGACTTTTGGGAGGGTTTTTTCCCCACCTGGAAGGAAGTTGAATGAAAACCAGACGTGTTCCAGAAAACACAGATTTTCTGCAACACATCTAACCGGTTTGCTGAACCCCACAAAAAATTAGCTACTGGTCCTAATGAACTGGTGTGAACGGGCTGAATCCCACCCACTGAATGGATGAAGAATTTCCTTCATGTGTATTCCCCAAAGACTGGCACCAGTGGAATTTCCTTTAAACACACATATGTGCCATGATCCTGAGTTGACTGCTTCTTTCATGTTTGCAGGATTGAATGATATATTACTGCACTGCTCATCTCACCCTAGTTTTGATGGTCTTATCCTAGATCCATTGTGTAAATAATAATTACACTAACTTAGTCAGTGCAGTGCACCATCTTATTGTGGATTCCATGCACCATTCTTTTGCTATAGTATTGCTGAAGTTGTTTTCATTAATCTGGAATGAGGTGACTTTCTCACAACAGTGAACAGAGCTTTTTTTTTATTCAAATGCAGGCATATTCCTTTCACTGCTGAGCATATTTGAGTGAATAGTATCCGTAGAGTTTTAAATATGAATAGAAAACTCAAAGGGGTGGGGGGTTGTCAACAAAACAGATCTCTTGCTTGTCTGCAGCTGTATGTGCAGATGCCCCAGAGCTGGCCCTGCTGTACAATATTAAGGTTGCCAACTCTAGCAAAGTTCCTCTCACCAAGGAGAAGATGGAATTGGTGGAAACTTAAACAGGTATTATTGTCTCAAAAGTTGGAAAAATTTGCTTTAGGCTGCCACGTTTTGCCAAGTGTTGGGCAGTGGCAGGTGCTAGGCAATTGTTTTCTTTGAGGACCCATGGACAATAAAGATACAGTAAGTAAGGAAGTTTTAAGCTCTATTCTTAACTTTAGCAGAGAGATAACAGAAGCTTAAAAGCAAATATACCAATCAAAATTATGAACAACATATTCCTTTTTCAACTCTTAGGAGTCCTAGGGAAACAATAGCAGAAAAATCCCAAGATTACTTAAGTTGGCACCTGTTGACATCTCATGTGCTATAAGTTTGCATGATGAAACGTCAGATCATGGGATCATGTAGAAAAGGTCATGAGAATCTGGTACCAGGTATAAACGATTAAGCTCCTGGTCTGGTGCCAGTGACAAAAGATCCTGGTATTGCCCTTGGAATTGGGAACTTCAACACAGGCTTGAAGGTGGATGTTGTGTGACTAGTATATCTTGAGATTTCTCCATTATGCCATAGGGTACTTGAAGGGAGAGCTTTGACCTGGACTGGGGATTTGGTCATTTGGGGGTCTTTCCACTGTTTTTCCATTGGGGTTCCTGGCAGTTGATGAAAGGTTTTTTTGTGCTCTTATGTTTCTGTTTAAATTTGTCTTGGGTTAATTAAGAAAACTGTGATAAAGTTAACTGTAGCAGTACCTTTTTTTTGGAATAGCCTTCTTCCTGAGATCTGGATGGCTTCTTTCCAATTGGTCTTCTGAAAGCCTGCATATACTCAGCTTGTTGGCCAGGCCTTTAGCGGGAGCTTAGTATGCCTGTTGTTATATGAATTACCTTGATTATAGTGTGATCATTATTTTTAATAGTATTGAACTTTTATTAATATGTTATTTACCAACTATTAATTTGGTTAAAAATGATAAATATAACAGGAAAAAGAGGTTGGGAGGATAGGATCAAAGGGATAGAGAAGTTAAAGAAGTTAAAAAGTGACAAAAATATAGAAAACCCCCCAAAATGACTTGATTTTCTTTTGTATGGATACAAATATATAGTAAGGTAATCTCTTATTCTAAAATAAAACAAACATAAAAAGCTGATATAAAAGTACACCAATTAAACAATCAAAATAATATTATAATTGTATAATAACATAACCTTTTGTTCTAAGTTTAAACCTAAACATGCACAAAGATACCTATCTCTAATAATAAAAATAAGCAATATTTCTATATAATGGCAGATTCAATTGCTGAATCATAAAATCAATTTTTCATTTTTATCTCTTTTTAAAATGTCTTCATATATTGCTTATTAGCTACCCAGAATTGTTTAAGATGAGCGCTGATATAACTTCTCCAAAATAAATGAATAAATATTATGCAGCAACAGAATATTCTGTATATGCATCTAGGAGATATGAAGCCCTTGTGATGTTAAATACTCCAGATATTTCTGAACTGTTCATAGCATTCCCTTATTGGTTAGCTGCTGGGAATTGCTTAACAGCAACTAGAGACCATAGATTCCGTATTCCATTGTAAAGAATGCATGCCAGTCTTTCACTTCGTTAGTAAAATCCAGCAGTTTCACCATTCAATTTTACCACTATTTTAAAAGGAGGAATTCAACTGAGGGCAATTTTTATTTCAATAGTGTTCTTCAGTAAGATGTTATTTTAAAAGTACTGTTAACACTGTTTGATTCTAAATCAATAGTAGCAGGAGAAGCACAGTTTTTTATTTGTGCACAAATTAATATCAAGAATTTAATGCAGCAAGGAAGAACAGTTTTGTTTATAGAATCTACTCTCCCTGTATACTATTGATTGTATAGTACATATACTTTCTGCTTTTTAAAAACTTTTGTGATTTTCTTCCATTTGAATTGTCTTCACTGTGATGAATTAATCACAGTGTAAGTTTTTGCACAATGTAACAGTGGTGTGTTTCACACTGGCTTCCACGATGAGGTAAGATATGATATGTACCATTCAATATATATATATATTAAAAGGCAAGCTGATTCTGTAGTCTTCATTTTTGAAATAAAAATCATAAGCTTTCAATACCTTTGATTGGCAGTTTTGTAATTCTAGCTCCCAGGAAGCTGTGAACTCTCACTTAGCATTCACTTGTTAGAGCCAAAGAGGGAAAGGATTAAAAACTGGAAAAGGAAACGAAGTAGAGAAAATATTTAGTAATAATCACAGTTTAGTCTATTCTGTTGGGTGCCATTGATATTAGAAAATAAAATGTATTTTTTCAAAGCACTAAAAGATGAAACATTTGAGAGAAATTTGTATTCTAACCAAATTATTTCTCTTTAATGAAACATACTTGCAATATAGACACAAATAATAGTTAACGGAATGTAGTTCTTAATTCTAATAAGTGGAATCTGGATCTCTATTATGTAGAAGAGCTGTATATAGAGCTGAGCATTTAATCTCTTTCCTAATTTTGGCAAGCTCTTTGGCTGAATTTTAAATTTGTTTATTCTCTAGCCTTGCTTATATGGAGACAATTTGGTGTAGTGGTTAAAGGCATTGGGCTAGGAACTGAAAGGCTTAGGTATGAAGCCAGCTGGATGACTTTGGGCCTGTCTCTCTCTCAGCCCTAGGAAGGAGGCAATGGCAAACTGTTTCTAAGAATTAGGACAAGAAAAACGGCAGGGACTTATCCAAGCAGTTGCCAGGATCAGGAATTATTTGAGAATGAATACTCATATACAAATCGCCCAAAAGTTCATCACTTAGAAAAGAACCCCCTTAAAGCCCACTTTTCTTCTGTCCTCAATATTTTTACTCAAAGGAAGATGTCCTTTATTTTAATGACTTTTAAAAATATAAATATTCTCTCCTTTTTGTCTTTCTTTTTTATAGGTACAAATCTACGAACTGGAGGAGCACAAAATTGAAACATGGAGAGGTAAGTATATGTTATAAATCAGGGGTGGGCAAACTACGGCCCGCGGGACACATCCGGCCCGTTGGTCATTTTAATACGGCCCGCCTCTGAAAAAAAAATATTCCTCTCTGAAAAAAAAATTGGGGCCGGCCAAAAGAGACCCCGCGCTGCGCGCCAAAAAATTGCACACACAACACGGAGCTGGGCAGCCGCTTCCCTGGTAGCGGGGCCAAGGCCACCGCCCGGGGAACGCCCACTGCTTTCCCTCACCAGGGCTGGGCGGTGGCGTGTTGCCCTGCGCTGCATGGCCCCCGCCTGGCAGCGTGCTTCTCAGCTGGTCTCCTCCTCCTCGGCCATACAGAACAAACAGGCAGAGAAGGAGGAGACCAGCCGGCTGGTTGGGGGAAGCTTTCTGCGCCGAAAGAGGCAGCTACTAATCTCCGGCTTTGCTCCGCTTCTCCAATGGTCCGGCACCACCCTGTTCTTCTTGTGCTGCGAAAGAGGCGGCTAATGATCTCCGGCTCCGCTCTGCTTCTCCAACATCCGGCGCCACCCTGTTCTGTGTCAGGCCCAGTAAGTCCAAGCAGCCGGCGCACAGAACAGGGCAGCGCCGGATGTTGGAGAAGCAGAGTGGAGCCGGAGAAGAAGCCTCCCCCAACTGGCCAGGTGCTCTCCTCCTTCTCTGCCTCCTTCTCTGCCTCTCCCCTCTTGCTCCTCACAGTTGCCCTGAGCTGGTGCGGTTCTTTACTTGGGCAGCCAGACGCCCGCAGCAGCGCCCGCAGCAGCAACAGGCAGTTCTGCCTGGGCTCTGCTCAGGTGTCCAGCTGGGGCTGTCAGGAGTTGCTACCACCGGCGCAGCTCCGCGCGGCTCCAGTCCCACGTTGCCTTGGGAAGGGAAAGGCAAAACCAGGAGCCGCTGAGCCTGAACCTCCGGTGCCCTTGCTGCCGTTGCAAAGCACCGCCGCGGCTCTTCCTTTTTGCCTTTCCCTTCCCGAGGCAACGTGGGACTGGAGCCGCGTGGAGCCGTGCCGGCAGTAGCAACTCCTGACTCAGGGGGCCTCCGAGGGGAGGGGAAGGAGGAGAAGAAGGGGGGAAGGGGGGGGCATTCCCAAAAAATCTTGTGCTGACCCGGCCCGTCTGTCAAATTTTAAAAGTGAATGCGGCCCCCCGAGCCAAAAAGTTTGCCCACCCCTGTTATAAATCATTCAAAATGAATGTGATCCTCCAAACTAGCTGTGCAGCTCTCTTGTTTACTAGATCTTTTATCATCCCCAAATCGAAGAATGGTAATATACCTGTAAACAGGTCATATCCTAGAATGCAAAACTAACTTAATGTGTGTTGATGTTTGTCCCAGTAAGCAAGAGTATTTTCCTTGTACTTCTACAGGTAATCCTTGAGTTACAACCACAATTGAGCCCAACATTTATGTTGTTAAGTGAGTTTGATAAGTGAATTTGATGAGTTTTGCCCCATTTTGCAACAGTTGTTAAGGGAATCATTGCAGTTGTTAAATTAATAACATGGTTATTAAGCGAATGTGACTTTCCCATTGACTTTACTTGTCAGAAGGTTGCAAGGGGGGGGGGAATCACATGACCCTAGGACACTTCAGCTGTCATAAATATGAACCAGTTGCCAAGCATCTGAATTTTGATCATGTGACCATGAAGATGCTGCAATGGCTGTAAGTCATTTTTTTCCAGTGCCATTGCAATTTTGAATGGTTACTAAATGAACTACTCAAGGACTACCTGTATATTTTTTCATTCACCTTTTCATTCTCATATAATTGTTGCAGTGGAAAAAGACAGTTTTGCTCAGTGGAAAAAGACAGTTCCATTGTACATAGTTACTGAGTCTTGTCTAAGTTTTATTTTATTGAGGATGGGTCCTCCAGACCTGCCATATGTTGTAGAAAAATATTGATAACCTATTTGGTCTACTGAGTTTTAAAAAATTAAATTACTCTCCTGAAATGTAAACACTTTCTCTAAAATACTTTCCACAATTTTTGTTGCAATTGTGATATTCATCCTCAGACTATAGTGACCTCTAGTGGTTATTTGTTCTGAAAACTAATTTCTTTTTATTTATTTATTATGATTGTTTAATTATTTTTGAATTAAAAAGTGATTTCTTTACAGCAGAAATGTTATTGTTATGAAATATTTATTGAATATTATAGGTTTATGAAAATATTATTTTTAATTATACAGAGCTTTATTTGCAAGAAACCTTTAAACCCTTGGTGAATATTTCACCTGATGCAAGGTATACAATTCTTTCTTTACCTTTTTTATTTGTAAATTCTGTTCATGTTTTATTATAAGCTCTGTTATTTTTATCAAACTATTTCAAAGAAGAACTGAAGACTAATGTGATAATTGTCAGAAGTTAGGGTTTTGATGGCAATCATTTATCTGATACTCGCTTTAATGCTGTTTGTATTGATGACTTTTATTGTATAGATGAGTTTGAGGCAGTGATAACTCAACAGTTAAAAATGCTGAGCTTGTCAGCTGAAAAGATGGCAACTCAGGTTCAAGATCTGAATTCTGTGCAACAGTGAGCTCCTGTTCCTTGCCCCAGCTCCTGCTCACCTAACAGTTCAAAAGTTGCAAATGCGAGTTGATAAATAGGTACCATTTTTGGTGGAAAGGAAACAGCATTTTGTGTGCCTTGTGTAATCATGCTGACTAAGGAAAATGTTTTCAGATAACACTGGCTTCCTCAGCTAAGAAACAGTGATGAGCATGCCCCCTAGAGTCGGACACAACTGGATAAGGGAAACTTTTACTTTTATAGATCAGTTATCAACTCTGAATTATCAGCTTACTGATCACTATCAATAACTTTGAATCTTGATAACTTTCTTCTTTCTTTATAGAATATCTTCCCATAACTCTCATTATAATTATTATTCTCTTAGAATGTTCTTGTTTTTTGATATAACGTTGGTATTAAAATATACATAACATCTAATTGAGAATTACAATTGTATATTGTTTTGTTTTCACAATTTCCTTGAATGTTTTTTTATTAAGAATCATTTATACTTTTGATTTTGAGTAATTCTTTTGTAGTGGGAAAATGTCTTTTAGAAATAAGTCAATAGAATGTACTAATAATTGCAATAACTTTCTCTTTAGCCTTTTTGATGCTGTGTATTCATTGATCAAAAACAAAATCCACAGATTACCAGTTATTGATCCTGTGAGTGGAAATGCACTTTATATACTTACCCATAAAAGAATACTCAAATTTCTCCAGCTTTTTGTAAGTAGAACTATAGTTTTATTCTGTTCTAATTATCTAGTAAATTAATTGTATGAATGTTAAATAATATCCTGGGTCTATGTCAGTACACTCATTAAATGTACCTTCCAGTTTGCAAACTGCAAACACCAGTATATTGATTAGCCAGATTGTCTCTAGATCATTAATTCTACCTTATATAGAAAAACACAATTTAGTAAAGTCTACTTTGGTTGAATTAGTATGGATAGCTGCATATGGCATAGGTATGTGTAAAGCAGATAATTCGGTGTGCACCTTATCTATTAAATTAAAAATGGTATATGAAAGCATCAACTGTCCCAAGTGATGATGGGTGATGGACGTCAGTATCTATGCCATCTTTTGACCATCATGGTACACACTGCTCAAAAAAATAAAGGGAACACTTAAACAACACAATGTAACTCCAAGTCAATCACACTTCTGTGAAATCAAACTGTCCACTTAGGTAGCAACACTGATTGACAATCAATTTCACATGCTGTTGTGCAAATGGAATAGACAACAGGTGGAAAGCATAGGCAGTTAGCAAGACATCCCCAATAAAGGAGTGGTTCTGCAGACGGTGACCACAGACCACTTCTCAGTTCCTATGCTTTCTGGCTGATGGTTTGGTCACTTTTCAGACATGATATTTTTCCGATTAAAATCGGAATTCCGATTTTTTTGGGAATCGCCCAGGTGGTGCAAGCGGCGGGCGGGGCGAGCGGTGGGCGGGCGGTGTGAACGGCGGGCAGGGCGGCGGGCGGTGCGAGCGGCGGGTGGGCGGGCGATTTCTTGGCGCGCGGTGGGGGGTCTCTTTTGGCCGGCCCCGATTTTTTTTTCAGGGGAATATCATGCCTGCTTTTGAATGCTGGCGGTGCTTTCACTCTAGTGGTAGCATGAGACGGAGTCTACAACCCACACAAGTGGCTCAGGTAGTGCAGCTCATCCAGAATGGCACATCAATGCGAGCTGTGGCAAGAAGGTTTGCTGTGTCTGTCAGCGTAGTGTCCAGAGCATGGAGGCGCTACCAGGAGACAGGCCAGTACATCAGGAAACGTGGAGGAGGCCGTAGGAGGGCATCAACCCAGCATCAGGACCGCTACCTCCGCCTTTGTGCAAGGAGGGACAAGAGGAGCACTGCCAGAGCCCTGCAAAATGACCTCCAGCGGGCCACAAATGTGCATGTGGCTGCTCAAATGGTCAGAAACAGACTCCATGAGGGTGGTATGAGGGCCCGACGTCCACAGGTGGGGGTTGTGCTTACAGCCCAACACCGTGCAGGATGTTTGGCATTTGCCAGAGAACACCAAGATTGGCAAATTCGCCACTGGCTCCCTGTGCTCTTCACAGATAAAAGCAGGTTCACACTGAGCACATGTGACAGACGTGACAGGGTCTGGAGACGCCGTGGAGAACGTTCTGCTGCCTGAAACATCCTCCAGCATGACCGGTTTGGCAGTGAGTCAGTAATGGTGTGGGGTGGCATTTCTTTAGCACAGCTCTCCATGTGCTCGCCAGAGGTATCCTGACTGCCATTAGGTACAGAGATGAGATCCTCGGACCCCTTGTGAGATCATATGCTGGTGCGGTTGGCCCTGGGTTCCTCCTAATGCACAACAATGCTGGAGTGTTTCAGCAGTTCCTGCAAGACAAAGGCATTGATGCTATGGACTGGCCCGCCCGTTCCCCAGACCTGAATCCAATTGGGCACATCTAGGACATCATGTCTCACTCCATCCACCAACGCCACGTTGATCCAGAGACTGTCCAGGAGTTGGGGGATGCTTTAGTCCAGGTGTGGGAGGAGATCCCTCAGGAGACCATCCGCCACCTCATCTGGAGCATGCCCAGGCATTGTAGGGAGGTCATACAGGCACGTGGAGGCCACACACACTACTGAGCCTCATTTTGACTTGTTTTAAGGACATTACATCAAAGTTGGATCAGCCTGTAGTGTTGTTTTCCACTTTAATTTTGAGTGTAACTCCAAATCCAGACCACCATGGGTTGCTAAATTTGATTTCCATTGATAATTTTTGTATGATTTTGTTGTCAGCACATTCAACTATGTAATGAACAAAGTATTTAATAAGAATATTTCATTCATTCAGATCTATGATGTCTTATTTTTGTGTTCCCTTTATTTTTTTGAGCAGTGTATATGGAAGGTTAGGACATGGAATGTAAAAGAAATAAATGGTAAAACATGAACTGACGGGTGAAATGAAATTAAAAAAAATAAAATTCAAACCTTCAGCCTTGCTGAAGTAGAGCTCCTCAAAGCTGTCAGCTTGTCCTTCTATGTTTTAGATCCCTGCCTTCCTGGTTCATTAAGGTATCCTGAGAGGGGCCAGGTGTGTGTGTGTGTGGGGGGTTCATTCAGTGAGGAATACACATTGGAAAGAAAATACTGGCTTATGTCCCTGGCAAACACTTTTCAAATGATTATTTTTTAAAATTTGTCTTCTACTTTTTTCAAGGTGTCAGAAATGCCAAAGCCTGCCTTCATGAAGAAAAATCTGGATGAACTTGGAATAGGAACTTACCATAATATTGCCTTTATACATCCAGACACTCCTATCATTAAAGCCTTGAATATATTTGTAGATAGAAGGATATCAGCACTACCTGTTGTGGATGAGTCAGGTGAGTAATAAGGATTATCAAGTTTGTTATTGCTTGTTGTGAGCACTAAAGCCTGGAAATGTTTTTAAATTTTAAGAAGACAACCACAAAATGCAAATGTGCAGGATTGAGATCTGAAGCACTTTTGTGTCCACATCACATCAAAATATTGTGCATACTTAATTAGAAAAATCTTTGAAGATTTCATTATTTATTTAGATCCATGTTTCTCAACGTTGGCAAATTTAAGATTGCATGGTTTTCAACTCCCAGAATTCTCTAGCCAACATTCTGGATAACTTTTCCTATACTTCATACGAATGGTTTTAAAAAAAAATTGTTCCAAGAAGCCCTAGAAATCATATTATTGGGAACTAACATAGTTCTACAACATCATCTGGGAGTTGGTCAGCCGAAAAATATGGCTAATTACCCCATGTCATTGTCAATGCAGCGTCAAACTGCACCAAAGTCCAGTAAAACAACTGAGATTTGTTCCAAAGGTAGGTCATTCACCAAGATTGTTAATATTCCAAAACAGCATCTAAATCTATAAACAAGGATATGTGCTTCAGTGTTCAGGAAAACATTCTATTTCTTCTCATATTGAATTTGCAATTCAATTGTGTGACAGAGTTCATAGTTTTTTCTTAATTGTTTTGCTTAGCCCATAAAACTAGAGAAGCAAGTGTTATCTTTCGAAAATGTAGAATTAATATTAATTAATTTGTTTTGTCAGTTGTTTGTGAACACATTATAAGGCTTATCTTCTTCCCTTTTTAGGAAAAGTTGTAGATATTTATTCCAAATTTGATGTTATAGTAAGTATTTTTATATATATAATATTTCTTTCACTTAGTTTTTCACTGTGACCACTCTGTAATATGCCCTGGTTCATAGGATTAGGGTTACTCTGTGTGTTACTTTGTTAATATGTTAAATAATATTTTAAAAGCTTCTTTATAATTATTGTATCATACTTCGAGTTAGTGTAACTTGGTATTTCCAAAAGTAAAATATGATGCAATCAGAAATTGTCTTTAGCATACTTTTGCATAAATATTATAAAGTAACAGCACCAAAACTGTTAAGTAAAAATGAGAAGAAAAATAAATTTGAGATTTTATTTTATGAATACTTTTGATTTAATCTAATCTAAAGCAATCTAAAGTAACTAAAGCATTCCATGGATACTTTATAAAAAGTGGGAATAAAACTCTTGGTTGAGGAAAGAATTATTGAACAATAGTTTGCAGTATGAAATAGTTTGCATGCTTCAAGTAAAACAGTGCTATCCTTTCTTAAAATCAAAGATAGGAAATGAGAAATATTCTGTTGCTTCTTCCTGTTTTTTTTTTTATCATTGCCCCCTTTGAATTCAAAATTATGGGGAGCTCATATCCATAATTTGCTACCATGGTTAGATAGGTCTTGCTAATTGTCATTAATGAGAATGCTGGGACAAAGTGAAAGGAAAGGGAAATATTTGAGAGAAGATGGGCAAGCAACCATACTGTTCTCCATATCCTTCACCCCCACCCCAAGATCCTTAACTTTTGAAAGTTAACAATTAAGTACCACTAATGTGTAGTATGCATTGTTTTTAACCAAAACACACTTTCTTACACCCAATTAATCCAAAATATGTATGGTACTATCATGGGGGCACATACAGGTTTGTCTGCTTTGCTTTTTTCCATTAGTTAAATCACAACATGTGGATCAAATTTCTGGAGTAAAATAATGAAATTTGGAAATTGACTCATCTGTAACTGCCTTTTTTCTAGAATCTTGCTGCTGAAAAAACTTATAATAACTTAGATATCACAGTGACACAAGCTCTCCAACATCGCTCTCAGTATTTTGAAGGTGTTGTGAAATGTAATAAGCTGGAAACGCTGGAGACAATTGTGGATCGGATAGTTAAAGCTGAGGTGAGAATTTGGGAGGGGAGCACAGTAGTTTTCTGAATAGCACTGTTTATGAGATTATTCCAAAGAGCACACAGATGGTAACAATATAAGAATATAATGATATAATACAAAATTCATTAAAACTTATTCCAGCTACTTGTTTCCTTTTTTAAAAAGTGCAATAAATTTATTACATGATAATTTTGTTTTTTACATTGATTTATAAGGATTGTTAAATTTCCGAATTAAATATACCACTTTTATTGAGATTTCAAAGTAGTCTTGCTATGTAAATACTGTTTTGAAAAAGTTTGTTCATGTGAATGGTTTAAACCATCCAACATTTAAGAATTGCTAGGAACAAATGTGTTGAAAATGTGTGAGAACAGCATGATAGAAACATTCTGTTAACACACCTTTATGTGATAATTAAAATAGCTTAAAAAGTGAATAAGATGAAACTGTTCAACCTCTCACTTTTTTAGCAATCAGCAATCTATTCTAAATAAGGAATAATTGAGATGTACCCTTAAAACACTGCATATCTTCTGCAAGGTAAAGCTGTTCTTTGCTTTGCTTTGATTGCAAGTTTGATTCACTTGCAGACAATAGGGCCAGGCTAGAAATGTATCCCCATTTCATTCTCAGCAAACTTTTCATGAAACTTGTTTCATGTATCCTAAAATTTTATTGCTTTCTGCTTTTTCCAAGTAGTATTTGACTGGATTTTGAGAATGTATGGGTAATTTTCCCATATGTCATCACTTATTTAAGCTTATGGTTTTTTTCCCAATTACGTATCTTCCTCCAACCACCATTTTTTCAAAATATAATTAGGAAAAAAATCCCAAAATGTTCTGAATTATTTATACAACTATACAACTAAAATCAGCAATGGCCTTGAAATATTTTGCTCTTGTTGCCAAATGAAGACTGGAACCAAATACAAAGAAGTAAAGAATCAAGCAAAAAGAGTAGGGAGTATTAAGTATGCTCTTTTGAGTCTTTACAGCAGGAGTGTCAAACTCATGGCTCATGGCCCCGCCCAGTTTAGCAAAGGGGGGGGGAGTCCCAATACATCATGTGACGATGTGAGTTTGACACCCCTACAGCAAAGAAAGATAAATTTAACAAACAGATTATAGCTATTATTCAGGAGCCCATTTGTGGCCAAACTTGAAAAGACAGATCACTTGATTAAATCCGTGCAGTAATCATAGACACATTGAACCCATTCATCATAATATTCCTACGTAAAATATCACCAATATAAGATAAACATCTATAAAAATAGAATTTCCCCCCTTTTCTGTTTCTTTCCTGTGTTCCCCATTTATATCAGGTGGGTATGACTGTTCAAATACAAGAGAAGAGGAACTCTAAATTGCCTGGCCGGTAGGTGGTTCACCTCTGTCCTCCATTGTTGAAAAACCTTGATTCTGTGTGCTTACCATTTGACAGAGTGCCCACCCTTTCCTTTATCAGTTCTTTTCAATTCACAATATTTCCTAAAATGGACACAAAATGAAAAAATAGTATGAAGAAGAATAGTTTACAGGGGTGGCGAATCTGAGCCCTTCAAGTTGTTGTTGAACTTTAACAGGATGGCTTGGCTAGCAAGGCAATGCTGGGAGTTGAAGTTCAGCACATCTAAAAGACCATAGTTTCCTCATTCCTGCCATAAAATATCACCTTTATTGTAAGAATGATGAATTAGTGGCCCTTAAAATTCTGTTTAAGGTAGGAATGCTTAGGTAGGATCATAGCATTTTATTTTTGCAGAGGATAATATTTCTTAAATGCCCTGCAGAAATGATAATCCGTTTGCCTTTTTAATCAAATGAACGTCTTTTCCTTGATCCTCTGACCAGTTCCAGTTAATGCCATTGCTATCAAATATTGAGAAACAGAATTTTTAAGACTATTTTTAAATCTCATATACAACTCATTTTCAGTAACCTGAACTATAAGTTATGAGAGCATTAGAAATGGTATAGCATCTTGATCTAAATGAATTCTATAAGACCCTCACTTGAATTAAATGATAAGTGAAGAGGAGTGAAAAAGATCAGCTGCCTATTGGTTTCATACAAATGTTAAATATATGGAGTCCTCGTTTGGGAGTTGCAAGTGGGACTGGCAACTTGGTCGTTAAATGAAGCAGTTGCAACTCTCCTTATGATATTCCTTTAGCTTTCTTTTGTTTTACAAATCTGTAGATTATAAGTGCAATTGAATATACAGTTTTCACTGCCCTTTTAACTGCAAACAACTGTTAGAGACAGTTGCTAAATAAAGACCACCTGTAATATGAACAATATAATGGAATCTGGTGAATTTCCATATTGTAGTTGCCAATATAGTTATTTTACTCCAATTTCTGAAACTACTAAACAACCCAGAAGATTCAGTAGAATAACAAATTATAGCTTGTTTTATGTGAAAGCAATGTTTGAGGCAGAAAAAAAGGAATGGCTTACAAAGAATCTAATTTACATTATTTGAGCTTAAAATGATTTTCATATCTTGACTAATAGAAGAGAATATTGGTAGTTCAAGATTAAACTGTAAAGTTCTTGGAGCCATGTTCTGAGAGCACCAAGAACTCCATGTATCTTTGCTAATCTAAGTTCCCAGATTCAGATATAATGCCGATATTCAAAGATACCATTTCTAACTCTACATGATTACGGTTTCTGGTTATGGTTTGTTGGAAATGCCAGAAATGGCCATTTCGCTCAAAGTTGCTCAAACTGTTATAGCTATGTGCACAATTTATGCTATACCAAAACCAAATAAGCTTAATAATGACTTAGCACAAAATGTGAGCTTGGCCAGTGGCAAGCTATGATTAATATGGTCTTCTGAATTATTTCCCATCTCACATAAAGGAAAAAAACAACATATAGATGCAGCAGGCTTATTCATCTCTTAACTTCTATAGTATACAAATCTCAAGCTAATGTTACAGATTAAATTTGAAGAAGCCTATTAAGTAGGACTAGATATTTGATTCTCCCAAGCAGTTAACCCCTTACCCCAGTGCACAGAGTGAATGGTTGTTTTCCGGTATAGACTATATCAGACACTGCATGTAAGATGGAGATTTGTTGTTCTCTTCGGTTTACTCACTTTGCCTTCCTTTCTCTCTCCTGTTCTCCTATTGGCTATACCCATATTCAGTTAGCTAAAGGTAAAACATGGGAATGTACATACACGCACTCTCATAATTTGGTAAGGTTATACATAAATTAGTTTTCGCTGTCATATACAATAGACTACTTTCAAATCTCATGATCTTCAAAAATGATACATGGCATATAGGTTAGCTATTCAAAATGTTTGCTGGGAAAATGCTATCATACTATACTATTTGGAGCATAAATTATAAAAACACACAATTGGGCTGTAGCTTTTATTAGATTGTTCTAATTTTAAATATAGTTTATGTTTGAAAGCGGTAACATTACACTTCACTTTTATCATAAAAATAGACTTGTTGCCTTTAGCCTGTTCCTTGTTAGATTACATTTCAGTATTTAGTTATAATCTCTATTTTTATCAAGAATCTTCTACTTAAATATATTTATAACCAGTAGCAAATTTTGCTGAATCAACTTACATCCAGTTCTCTTAGAACAGTGAATAAATACATACATATAAGGGGATCATTGCTGTTAAACTAGTACTTTGTTAGTTTTTCCAACTAATTATTCTTGATTAGCTGTGTGGAATTCACTTGTTCTAGTGCAGAGTATGTAAGCCTTTAGTTTTATCTAAGTCCACAGAAAGGACCTATGCACAGCACTGATAATTAAGACTTGGAATGTGTTGTAATGGCATATTGTTAATAAAGCTAAATGTAACTTGATCCAGATGTCAGATGAGAGTTTGAGGAAACAGATGTCATTGCTAATATTTGCTCTTTGTAGACTACATAAATCACTTAACTAAGAATGGCTGTGTAAAGGAGAACAAATCCACTTTTTAGAAAGTGCTTAAAATAATTTCACATTAATTTGATTTGTGAACTAAGCATTCCTGTATATAAGATAATCCAGTTGTCTCTTAACCTGAATATTCTTATTTTTATTGTGTTTATAGGACAATTGGACAGCCATTACTGTCATGTGCATTGTATTTGCAGGTTCATCGGTTGGTGGTTGTGAATGAAACTGATACTATTGTTGGTATCATCTCCCTCTCTGACATCCTCCAAGCATTAGTGCTTACACCAACAGGTATGAGTTCAGCATTTAAGTAGTAAGTATTTTCTCTGGCAACATGACAAGTATTTTACATTGCTTTTATCTTTTAACAACTCCTAAAATATAGGCAGACTATGAAAGGACTCCCTATTGAAATTGAAGATCATGAATAAGGATATTTTTATGCCTGTGCTTCTCAAATGTAGTAATAATTCATTTTAAACCAGCATATTTTTTAGAAATAATCCTCCAACTTTAAAAAAAAAATCCTTAAAACTTGGTCCAGATGCAGTTATAAAAGTAGGAATCTCATTTCCAATTTCTAATTGGCTGAGTATTCTAGGTTTAGAATCCAGTGGTCCTCCAGTGGTTAAGACACCAGACTAGATACCAGGTGAGTTCTAGTCCTGCCTTAGGTGTGAAAACCAACTAGGTGACTTTGGACCAATCACTCTCTCAGGCCAGCTCACTTCACAGGGCTGCTGTGGGGAAAATAGGAGGAGGAATGAGTATTAGGTAAGTTTATTTTTATTTATTTATTAAGTTTATATGTCACCCACTTCACAATTGAGCGATCTTGTTTGCCACCTTGACTTGTTTATAAACATATAAGAAAGGTAGGACTAAAAATACCTTAAAAAATAATATGGGCGAGTATGTTCTTACATGCAGTTTGTACACTGAGATTTCTTAAACATTACAAGTGAACAAGGAAATTATTATTATTGTTAAGTACATTTGGCATTTACACAGTCTTGATTCAGTCTCAACAGAAAAGTTTAAAATAAATGAAAGACATCAATATATTAGCTGCACTAGTAGTTGTACTAGAAGTTTAAAGGTATATAGTAAACTAGAAATATTTTAGTTGATCTAAATATGCATTAAAAGGTTTTTTGACAGAATACATAAGGAATTTTGAAACAAATTATGAAGTTGGAAGTAGATGTAATCCATTATGAATATTTAGAGGCCTGGCTTATACAGTGCATTCAGATAGTGTTCAAACTCCCTTATCAATTTTGTTATGCTGCAGTCTAACTCTATAGTTGTTGAAATTCATTTTTTTCTCATTACACTCAATATCCCATAATGCCAAAGTGAAAATAGAATTTTAGAAATGTCTTGTAAATGTATTTTTAAAAACCTGAAATATTACATTGGCATAAATATTCAGATCTTTCATTCAGTTCAACCAGGGGTGGGAATTCAAATGTTTTAACAACCGGTTCTGTGGGCATGGCTTAGTTGGCGGGCGTGGCTTGGTGGTCATGTGATTGGGTGGACATGGCTTGGTCATGTTACTGGCTGGGCCTGGTCAGCTCAACATCATTCACATCGAGGCACGCATCTCCTCGCCTGGCCTCTCGTGACTGTGGGGATGCTGCAACAGTTGTAAGTGTGAAAAACGGTCATAAGTCACTTTTTTAATGGTCCCTCCACACAAGTAAAGTACCAGCAAAGGAGGGGAAAAAAACTCCAGAGAAGTTCCAGAGTCAGGAAGTCTAGTTCTGTCAAGAATGGAATAAGGGTTAATGGAGAGGCAATTTCTGTAAGCAACAGAATGTTTCCTTCCTGCCTTCCTTACAGGATTAGGCCAGTAATTTCTTCTAACAACCGGTTCTCCGAACTGGTTAGAATGGTAACAACCGGTTCTAGCGAATAGGTGCGAACCGGTAGAATCCCACCCCTGAGTTCAACTTTGTTGAAGCACCTTTGTCAGCAATTTCAACCTCGAGTCTTTTTGGGTATGATGCAACAAACTTTGCACTCTTAGATGTGGGATTTTCTGCCATTCTTCCTTGCAAATCCTCTGCAGCTCAGTTAGGTTGCATGGTGACCATCGATGGACAGCCATTTTCAGGTCTCTCCGGAGATGTTCAATAGGGTTCAAGTCAGGGCTTTGGCTGGGCCACTCTCGGATATTCACAGTTGTCCCTAAGCCACTCCTGTGTTGTCTTGGCTGTGTGCTTAGGATCGTTGTCACGTTGGAAAGTGAACCATTGGCCCAGTCTGAGATCTTGAGTGCTGTGAAGCAGCTTTTCATTGAGGATATCCCTGTGCTATGCTCCATTCAGTTTTCCTTTAATCCTGATTGGTCTCCAAGTCTCTGCTGCTGAAAAATACTCCCACAGCATGATATTGCCATCACCATGCTTTACTGTTGGGATGGTATTGGGGAGGTGATGAGTGTTGCCTCCAGATGCAACATTTAGAATTGAGGCCAAACAGTTCAATCTTGGTTTCATTAGATCAGAGAATCTTGTTCCTCAGTCTGAGAGTCCTTCGGGTGATTTTTTGCAGATTCCAAGCGGGCTTTCATGTGTTTTGCACTGAGGAGTGGCTTCCATCTAGCCATAAAGCCCTGATCAGTGGAGGGCTCTTGGTCACATCTCTTACTAAGGACCTTCTCTCCCAATTGCTCAGGTTGATTGAGTGACCAGCTCTTGGAAGAGACCTGGTTGTGTCAAACTTCTTCCATTTGAGAATTATGGAAGCCACTATGCTCTTAGGAACCTTCAGTGCAGCAGAAATTTTATTGTAGCCTTTCCCAGATCTGTACCTTGCAATAATCCTGTCTCTGAGCTCTGCAGGCAGTTCCTTCGATCTCATGGCTTTTGTTCTGCTACAGTATGAATTTTCAACTGTGAGGCCTTCTGTAGAGAGAGATCTGTGCCTTTCCAAATCATGTCCAATCAATTTAACATACAGTAAGTTGACTCCAGATCAAGATGTAGAAACACGTCAATGATAGAAATGGGAGGTACGTGAGCTAAATTTCAAGTGTTTCTGAATGTATATAAGCCTTTATATAGAAAGAGTAAAAGTGCGAATAGCACTGGGCTGAACAAGATAGTGCTAGCCCTAATCCATCTGTGCAGAGATCCTTAGCTCTGTGACATAAGTGTGGCATTATCTTGAAATAGGCTCAGATTAATAGGTGTTTCTTAACAGGGAATAGCACGAGACACTAAAGTAACTAATTTCGTGATGTACAATAGGAGTAAAAAAGAGTGGAAATAATCCTAACACAGATCACAAGAGAAACATATTTTTAAAAGAAATTATGAGAAAGAAAGCTGTAAATGGGAAAATACCACTTTCTGTACAGAGATGCCAGAGAATGAACTATTTGCTATTTATTAACAGGCGCCCGGCAAAAGGAGAGTGGAACTGAATGACTGCTTTGAACAGAACCACCGTGGAAAGAAGAATTCGAATAAAGTGGCTGGGTCATCATTGCCTCAAGAACATTGATGGCAGTAGAGAAGAGTCAAGTGATGATGAGAATGTGTGTGTATTAGGCTAAGTGATGGATAGTCTATTATTTTCCAGTGACTGTCGCAAAACAAGCAGCATGACAAAAAGCTTCTGTATTTAATGCAGGCTTGCATTTCAACATGTTTGCCAAAAGATTTCACCTGATATCCATCTCAAATGCACTGGAAAAGAATAGCATTTAATGTTATGTTTTAATCTGATGCAAGTCATTGGTCAGCAACAGATCTCCGACATAAGGCAAGTGTATGGCATATTCATATCAGAGTGCCTTATGTCAAAAAGCCAACAATATGTCATCACTGTTGCCCATCATAGTAAAAGAACGTGCTCTGTGAAACAAGACACTGTATTGAAAATTCAAATTGCTAAGCCTAAAACCAAATCAATTTCAATTATCATTAGATTTGTTCTAAAAGCTGTAATTTAAATATCAGTAGATTACTTTAAACTTTAATTACAACTGTGTGTTTCTAAATGTTACATTCTGAACAGAGACGGTAAACAAAACTGATTAAAAGCAGCTTTATTTATTTTTATTTCTGCAATTTTTACACATCTTTGGTGGATAGTTAAACTTCACCATATTCATTAATAAAGCATTGATTCATATGTAAGAAGCAAATCTCTCATTACTGAAACAGGTGATAGAAGCCATCTTTACAGATGCATTACACAAAAGATTGAGAAATTTTTTATTAGCTGTATTGCTACCCAACATGTTTTGTTTTTCCACAAAAGAGAAATCTTATAGTTGTATTCTAAATGAATAAAGTATGTTTAAATTGCCAGAAGGTAAGAATATAGTGCTAGAAATCTATCTTATCTACTAAAACTCTTCTTTACTGTAAACTTTAACTGGGCAAAATGGTGCATCATAGGAGAACAATTTTTGAAACAAGGTACCTCAAATGGTCTAATTTACAGAAAGTGTCCGTAATCTGGGATCCATGATTCCTGACGGAATGAGATTAGGGAAAGTTGTGCTTTCTTCAGCTCTGGTCATAAGATGCTCATTTTGAACAGTTATTTGAAATCAATGAAAAATTCCCAGCTACTTTAATATTCCGGGTGTTTAAAAAATATAGACAATTTGAAGTCCAAAAAACATGGAAGCACAAATTCACTGCAGGGTGAGTTTATATTTTTTTAAAAATTATCAGTACGGAATTTTTCTAAAATATTGAATGAGGGAAATTTTACATTGCTTAACAGCACATTGTTAACAACTTCTTGAAAGGCAGGCAAATTTCAGACAGAGTTAAAGCTTGCTTAATTTTGTTGAACCAGATGCTCAGCTTTTAGATTAAAACTATACAGACTAAAAATGTGCACTGATGGAAGAAAACAATCTGGAAAAAAACACCTATCTGCTCTGTTTGACCATGCTTTAAATAAAAGCAGAATTCAAATTGAGGTGTTCAGATGTACACAATTTGCTGGTGAGAACATTTTATTTCACAATGTAATCTTTTTCATAGGATAATTCTTCAAGCTCATTTGCACTTGCCCAACTCCAACATTCCTTTCTCAGGGTATAATGACCTGAAGCGAACACAACATTCAACTTGTCAACTAGTTTCTGCTCCTTTTCTCATGACACCAATCATTTGCCATTGCTTTTTTCTCCAGCAAGCACTGCTTTCTTGGTCATTCACTAGTAACTCAGCAAATATGTACATAACTTTTTTTCCCCTACTGTTAACTACTTTTGCCATTTTCATACCCATTCTAGGCATATGTTCAATGCAGATCTCTTTAATGACCAGTGCTGTGACCTAGAGGTGGAGCTTTCGCCTCACAGTCAGGAGGCTGTGAGTTTGATCCTAGGTAGAGGCTGATATTTGGAACAGACTCTCCTGCTTGAGCAAGGGGTTGGACTAGAAGACCTCCAAGGTCCCTTCCAACTCTGTTATTCTATTCTAATGTCTCCCTTAAAAAAAACAGTACCATGCTATTGGTACAATGCCTGAAATTTTTTAAGCTGATATCTTTCAAATTTATCTTCTATTATATGGCTGCATTCTTTCAAGCATTACATAAACAATATGGCAAGTGCTAAAAATCTAATGTTCTACATTATGCTGCAGTATTTCTCAACCTTGATAATTTTCATATGTGCGGACTTCAGTTCCCAGAGTTCTTCGGGAGGCTGGCAAGGGAATTTTAGTAGTTGTAATCCACATGAAGTCCACCAAGATTGAGAAATTTGTACAATTAAGCAGAAACTAATCCCAGCAACATATTCAAACATGATTGTGTTTTCAGCACATGAATGATTCATTGAATGAAGATTGAAAATATGTTTTTTACCAACAAGAGCCTACATTTTTACTCTCCCTGGCGTGTACACTCAAGATACAATGTACACCCGCGTTCAGGAAGAAAGGTAAAACTGCCATTATCAAAAGAAACATGAGGAAGCAGGGTTGGTTATGAAGGGGTTGCAACTGAATTAAACTTCCTGGTTTGCTAAATCTGTCTGCCAGCTGCGTTCTGGCTATTTTGCATCCCACCTGCTCCAGCTTCAGCTGCTAACTGCACATGTGGGTGTTTTTTTTTTTTATAAATAAAATGATGGAACTGAGCCGAGTATGCAACTTGCTGAGCAGAAAAACCTGATGCGATGGCTGCTGAGGGAAGAAAACCAGCTGCGTCCTACATGCAGACCCCTGCAAGTCTGGATCAAGGGGAATCCCCTCTCCATCCTCAGCATCTTGAGACCTGGAGACCACAATTCCATAATTCTCCACGCTGGGCTGCACGTGGAACCGCCGCTAGATGGCGATAGAGCAGTTTGGAAACCAACCTCTGGCTCTGGCCAAGACAAAAATATGCGCAAACACGTGGAGGAAGAAAATAGAGAAAAGTGGATTACTTGCAGAGACTGGGTATAAAGGAAGAGGCATACGTGTAGCCACATTCTCACTTCTGTTTATTTCCTTTTGTCCAATGTTTCTCAACCTTGACAGCTTGAAGATATATGGGGGAAGATATATGGGCAAACTCCCAGAGTTCCCCAGCAGCAGGCTGGCTGGGGGTTTCTGGGAATCTAAGTCCACATAACATTGCTACAGTTGAGAAACATTGGTCTAAAGGTAGACAAGTATGTTATCCAGCACAGAACATTGCAAATCACATTGATTCAACTGTATCTACAGGAAGATCAAAATCTGCAAGTTGGTGCTGTGTTGAGATACAAGACCTGGCCCTTTTGTACATTGGTCTTGCAAATTTTGATCCTGCTTTTCAGAGCTGATTTGATCTGTTCCTGGAGCTTTGATCTAATTAGCTGGAATTTCTATAGCTCTATAGATCTTGTGAGCATTCTGATTTTGTAGGGGCATGAACCCTTAATTCCATTCCAGGGTCTCATAGGTTATGGTCAAGATGATGGCCACAATGGTGCAATCAAAGCTCTTCCCAATATTTACATGCATTTTAAAAATCTGAATGTGCAGAACTTTGATTGTACTGTTTTGACTGACATCTTGATTTTTTTGACAGTATCTTGTAGGCACTCCTACTGCTTACCCACAATTATTTCTCCACTGCCCTCAAAGACATGCAGAAACCTTTTCATGTGGCTTGCCTCTTTCTGTGTGCATTGATTGGAATATATTCCCAACCTCTGAAATCCCTGTGTCATAACAGGAAGTAGGATCTACTATTAGAGAAAACCCCTAGTTGCTCACAGAAACTTGCAAATGGCCCTTATAATTTTTACCAAAAGAAAGTACCGTTATTATATCCACCTGGCCCACCAGGGACAGGAAGGCAAGGTATGTTACAGGTCCCATCAATTAGGGATGTACCTCTGGTGGGACTGCAAAAAAGGACCACCTCAGTGATGACCCTTTCCCTATGGAAGATCATTCTACCTGAGGAAGTTGGCTCCCACATGTGTGTTTGTTTGCTTATTTATCTTACCACCAGGTAACTGGGCTCTTACACTATTAAAAAGATAAAGCTATACAATTTTACCATACAATTTCATAAAAATATAATACTAAATGTTCCTTTTCCAAAAGGCTCTAAATTGTGTTTGGTCAGTGGTACTAGAGATCATGTATGGAGATGAAGCCAAATAAGTTGATTTAATTGTGTGGCTGCTGCCATGGGTGGGCTGCAATTTTTAACAGGCTTTTTTATATTGTGATTTTTAATGTTGAGAGCTGTTTATGAGTTGCATGGCCATATAAATTTGTTTAATTAATTAGATTAGATATTGTAATATCTTTAGGGTAGATGTAGAAGACGACCAGGCTGTGCCCAAGGGCAGGGTCAAATTTATCATCATTCTGGAGTCTCTGCCCTTGAATGAGACCTAAGTCCAGCCACCCTTGAAGTTTGTTGACTCTTATCTGGCGCCAATTTGCCTTGACTGTACATCAGATTCTTGTGTATAGTTGCATGGAATAAACTCAGAGCTTTTGAACTCTATCCTGGTTTCTAGTTTCTTGCGCCTGACAATAGATCCATGAATGACATTGGTTGGTCTCTGCACTTCTGTACATAGATAACTCATTCTCCATTATTTTGCCCACATAGTTCCAGTCTCTGGACATTTAGCCGCTTTCCAGACAAAAGAATCTGAAGCCTTTAAAAAGAACTGATTCTTAAAAAAAAAAAAACTGAAAAAGCAAGCTGAGAAGTTACAAGCAGTTCAGCCTTTCTTTGCCTCTGTAAAGTCAACAGTAGACTCGCCAATCTCTGCTTTCCCGACATCGTCACTGTAGTACAATCCAAGTGACATTTTGAAGCAGGCTTACTTCACAGGAAACGGAGAACAATTTACAGTGCAGTGATTTTGAACAAATGTTTCTTTCTCCACCCCCACCCCCCTCTTCTGACATTTTGCTCAGAATGCTGTTTGCTTAAAGGCCGGCCAAGAGAGAACGTGTATGTTTTCGATGTGCTGTTAAAAAGGGCACAAAATGCATGACGGGTTTTGTTCAGGGAACTGAACCTCAAGAGCATTTGAGGGCTGTGTCTATAACCTCTTTTCTTTCACGTGGGATTGCGAGCTCTGAAGATGCATTCCCAATTGCAAGCTTCAGTAGAAGCATTCCTACTTTCCGAAAAGAACATCTCTGAGCTGACTTATCAGTAAACGGAGCAGAATTGTTTGGGGAGCACAGTACATGTAAATCCTTAACTTACAACCATTAATTTAGTGACTGTTCAAAGTTACAGTGGCACTGGAAAAAGTGACTTACAACTGGTCTTCACACTAACATCCATTGCAGCATCTCGACATTCACACGATCAAAATTGCCCCAGAGTCACGTTTGGCATTTTTTTGCAACCTTCCCAGTCAGCTTCCAACAAGCAAAGTCAATGGGGGAAACTTTAACCCCAGGATTCAGTTAATGACACCAGTGATACAGAACAACTTGTAAATAAAGTTGTCACATATGGTGAAAGTCATGTTTTAAGAGCATCTTGCTAAGCAATAGAAATTCTGATCCCGATTGTGGTCATAAATAGTCCTTCCATGTAATGGGCTCCCTGTCTTTCAGCTGCCTTTTTCCTATCCAAATCTGCAAACAGAAAGCAATACTATTTTTGCTTCTTCCCTCAAGGAATTTTTTAGAACCAATTACCTGGTCCCTAATTGCATACAACTACCAAAAGTCCTAGATTAGAGAGTATTTTAAGCTTATGCCAACTGGTCAGTTTTAACATCACAGAAGCTTTACTACTGGCTTCATTCTAATAAAATTTCATAAAAAGAAAATCAATTCGCTTTTATTCCGGGGGCAGCATAGTTTTTGGAGTTTGCTTTTCTAAGGAAAAGCACAGCCTTCATCCTGAAAAAGGCAGATTTTTCAAACGGGAACATTTCCACGGTATTTTAAAACTGTTTTTGTAACCTTGGCCATTTTAATGTTTTGTGGACTTCAATTCCCAGAATTCCACAGCCACCTCAGCAACTTTTTAAAATGAGCGAACTACAACCACCCAGAAAGTTTCAGCAAACCTATACCTGGGAAACTCTGGAAATTGAAATTCACACATCTTAAAATTGTCAAGGTGGAGAAATACTAGTTAAAGCTGAATATACGGCGTAACAAAAACCACCACTATTCATAGCTTTGTTTAGGAAACAGGCTCTCAGGCGGCGCCTCCATTTCCCCGCGAATCCCAGCAGCCCCGCCCACCGTTCACATCGTGAACATTTTGACAATGAGTCCTGCATGGAAGCATGCACGAGCGGAATAACAACGCCCTTCTGTCCTCGCGCAACTCCGCCCTCCCGCCTCTTAACCAATCAAAACGCAGCGTCCTTCCTGACCCCCCCTTCTCGCACCTCTGCAGCTAATAGCTGAAGCATAGACGGAAAAAAAAAAATCAATAGTGAGGGGGTGGAGAGCGTGCACTCCACAAGCGCGAGGAGGAGGAGAAGGAGGCGCCGTCACCCCAGGCGTTGGGCGGAGCAATCTGCCGAGAGCAATGACGCCGCGAAATTTTCAGGGCCAGCGAGCGCCTCCGGTCGGCCAATGGGCGGAGCCGTCGCCCTCTTCTCCCCGCCCCCTTCCGGGGGCGTCCCCACGCTGAGGGGATCCCGGCCAGGCGAACGGGGCGTGGAAGCGCAAGTGCGCGCGCGCGGGGGCGGGGTCGAGGAGGATGGCGGTTGTCGTCACATGAACTAAAAAGCCACCGCCGCCGCTGTCGCGTCCCTCAGACAGTGCTCACGGGAGTCCCGCGCAGGTCATCGCCGCTCGACAAGCATATCCTCAACGCCCGCTCTTCTTCTCTGCCTGATCGGCCGTTGCCACCGCTGCTGCCACCACAGCCCTTGATGCAGTTGGGTGTTCGGCGGGGAAAAGATGCCACCGTCCAAGTCCCGTAAGATCGCCATCCTGGGCTACCGGAGCGTTGGTGAGTCCCGCCCTGAGGTGGCCGGGGTGATCGGCGGGCTCTGTCCTCGCTTCACCCGCCGGCGGAGGGGCAGGGGGCGGGCGAGGCCTTCCCATCCGAGCCCGGCGCTGGCAGGTGCGCGGAGGAGCGCGCCGAGGAACCGGCCGGGCCTCTCCCGCACTGCCGGCCGGTGCGCGTGGCGGATGCCGGGGCTGCCCTGGAGGAGCCGGCGACGAGCCACCCCGGCCTCCGCGGCCGGCCGAGCAAGGTTTGCATTTCCCGCCTGGGCAGAGCCAATTCAAAGGGCCTTCCTGGGCGGGAGGCGATCCTGGAGCCAGCAGAGATGCTCGCCCCGCTTTCCCGGAAGGCGCCGCCCGGGGTCTCTCGGTTCCTGGCGCCCCGATCTCGCCTCCTGCGTAGCGGTGGCGTTGGGAGAAGGGGGTCAGGTCGGCGGAGACGCCTCTTCTCGCCCACGGCCCCGGGTGGAGGAAAGGGCTGGTCCGCCCTCCGCGACTTTCGCCGCCTCACGGAACCCAGCTGCCTTTGACAGCCGCCATAAAACTTTCGGCTGACTTGGGTGGGAGTCACTGGCCCTTTCGGTGGGGCTTGTGCAAACGGCGGGGAAAAGGTTAACGCGGGGTTACGCAACCTTTTGTTTTGCTTCCTCAATTTACCACACAGGCTTTTTGTTTTGTTTTGTTTCGTGTTTGTGTGTGTGTGTGTGTGTCGGTGTCAAGGTGGTTTGGGTTTTTTGTCCCCCCCCCCCCTTTTTTTTTTTCCTTTCGGTAGTAAAAAATTAAGGTGATGCTGTGAGTCGGATGAGGATTAAAATACTACCTTGAGTTTCACAGGAAAATAAATGTGACTTTTAGGTTATGATGTTCATTCAGCCAGGCTTATTAGAATTAAGTTCAGCAGGTGTGCTTGGAGTAAAAGTTTTCTTTTGTTTTCGTAGTAATTATAAATGCACGATGTGTTAATAGGGTTGGCCATGCCACAA